ATCCTAGATGTTTTGTTTTTCCTCTACATCCCAGGGTTCCTTTCTCTCTCCATTGGTGTGGAATTTGCCATGAACATGTCCAAGAGTCCTGCCAATGTCCTCCTCAAACACCATACTGCCCACCACCCAAGAGAAGGCTTTCAGGCGAGGACAATGCCATCCTAGAAGTTCTGTCTTTTATCCACATCCCAGGGTTCCTTTCTCTCTCCATTGGTGTGGAATTTGCCATTAACATGCCCAAGAGCCCTACCAATGTCCTCCTCAAACATCATACTGCCCACCACCCAAGGGAAGGCTTTCAGACGAGGACAATGCCTTCCTAGATTTTATATGTTTCCTCCACCGCAGACATCCCAGTGTTCCTTACTCTCTCCCTTGGTGTGGAATTTGCATGACCCCCGCCCACTGCCTCTCCCTTAACCCTTTCCTATTCTTTTCTATGGCGCACAGCAATAATATAATAATAATTGTAAAAATAAAACAATATAATGATATTTATAATTATATATATATTATTATAAAAATATAAAACATAATATTATTAATTGGTTTTATTGTTATAAAATGTAATAATATAATAATTTAATAATAATAATATAAAATAATATTAAATATAATAACAATAATAATTATTACTATAATATAAATACAATATAATATAATAATTGTAAAAATAAAACAATATTATTATATTTATAATTATATATTATTATTATAAAAATATAAAATATAATATTAATTAGTTTCATTGTTATACTATAAAATGTAATAATATATAATAATAATATTATAAAATAATATAATATAAAATAATATATTACTATAATATAATATAAATAAAATAATAATAATATAATAATTGTAAAAATAAAACAATATAATTATATTAATTATATATTATTATAAAAATATAATAATATTATTAATTAGGTTTATTGTTATAGTAGGGTGTAAATAAATATAACAATTGAATATTAATAATATATAAATAATAATTATATAAATACAATAATATATAATATATATATAATAATAATATAATATAAATACAATAATAAATATATAATATAAAATATATAAAATATATATAATAATTGTAAAAATAAAACAATATAATTATATTTATAATTATATTATTTTTATTACTATAAAATATAAAATATAATATTATTAATTAGTTTCATTGTTATATTAAAATATTATATATATAATAATTTAATATTATTTTTATTATAAAATAACATAATATAACAATGATATATAATATAGTATAAATACAATATATAAATATAATTGTAAAAAATAAAACAATAAAATTATATATATATATATATATATATATTATTATTATTATTATTATTATTATTATTATTATTATGAAAATATAGTAATATTCACCCAACATGTATGCATTTGGCACCATTACAAAATTGACTTTTTCCAATAACCTGGGCAAGGCCGAGCACCCAAAATAATACATAATAATAAATCCAAATAATAAATAATAATAAATCCAAATCCAACTGGCTGCAAGGAGCAGAAAACCTGCAGGTGTTTCCCAGGTCGAATCTAAAAGGCTTCTCTGCAAAATCCCAGTCGAGATCAGCTGTGGCTGATTCCCAAGGCTCCCTCCTCCAATGCAAACCCTGTTTGTTGGATTTTCCAGGGAGAAGAACCATTTTGGAAGATCCATTTGGAAAAAGTGCAAGACAGAGGACCTTCTCGGCCTTCGCTGGAGCTCCCTTCGCAGAGAGGTTAGGCCAGCGTCGCTCTCTGCTCTCGCTATTTGAAACTGGTGTATTTTAAAGGGGAAACACACCTTGTAAGGTAAAGGGAAAGGGTTTCCTCTAGTCGTGTCCGATTCTGGGACTTTAGACCCTGTGCCAGGTGTGCCGGTCACCACTGGGACCACCTTGCAGTTCAATCTTTAAATCCTCGTATCATTATTATTTTTGCAGCTGGCAAATTGTAATTTTGTCAGCGGTGATTGTTTTTAAGTGCAGACCAAGGTCTTGAGGCATTGCGCCCAGTGTGCCGGTCACCACTGGGACCACCTTGACTGGCCTGTGCCATAATCATTGCGGTTCAATCTTTAAATCCTTGGATTATTATTATTTTTTGCAGCTGACAGAAGGTAATCATGTCAGTGGTGATAGTATTTAAGTGCAGGCCTAGGTCTTGAGGCACTGCACCCAATGTGCCGATCACCACTGGGACCACCTTAACTAGTTTGTGCGGGAGTCTTTGACGTTCAGTCTTTAAATCCTCGTATCATTGTTATTTTTGCAGCTAGCAGATGGTGATTGTTTTTAAGTGCAGGCCAAGATCTTGAGGCCCTGCGCCCAGTGTGCCGGTCACCACTAGGACCACCTTGACTGGCTTGTGCCATAGTCTTTGTGGTTCAATCTTTAAATCCTCATATCATTATTATTTTTGCAGCTGACAGATGGTAATTTTGTCAGTGGCGATTGTTTTTAAGTGCAGGCCAAGGTCTTGAGGCACTGCACCCAGTGTGCCGGTCACCACTGGGACCACCTTAACTGGCTTGAGCCAGAGTCATTGCGGTTCGATCTTTACATCCTCGTATCGTATCAGCTTTTCCAGTTGCTGTTGCCTGGAATTGCAACATTGATGATCCATACTTGGGTTTTTTCAAGGAGTTCCTTTTAAATATCATTATTAATAATAACATAGAAATAATAGTATTATATCATTATAATGTAATGATATAATAATAATATTATATTAATAATACTATAATAATTACCAATAATAACAATAATTATTAATAATATATTATATTGTTTTATATTTTATAATAATTATATTATATTCTATTCTATATTCTATAATATAATATAATATATTCTATAATATAATATAATATTCTATATTCTATAATATTATAATGCTGTAAGCCGCATCGAATCCCTCGGGAGATGCTAGCGGGGTACAAATAAAGTTATAATAATAATAATAATTATTATTATTATTATTTTAAATAATAATATTATATAATTATATTGTTTTATTTTTACAATTATTATATTATTGTATTTATATTATATTATATTATATTATTATAATATATATTATATATTATTGTTATATTATATAATTATATTATTTTATATTATTATTATTAATATTACATTGTTATATTGTTTTTATTATAATTATTTTGTTAGATTATATAATAATAATAATAATAATAATGGTGATGATGGTGGTGATGATGATGCAAGGACTTCAGTTAAAATAATAATAATAATAATAATAATAATAATAATAATAATGATGATGCAAGGACTTCAGTTAATATAATAATAATAATAATGCAAAGACTACAGTCTCACTAATGGAGTATGAAACCTAATAATAATAATAATAATAATAATAATAATAATAATAATGCAAGGACTTCAGTTAATATAATAATAATAATAATAATAATAATAATAATAATAATAATAATGCAAAGACTTCAGTCTCACTAATGGAGTTTGAGGCCTAATAATAATAATAACATTAATAAAATAATATTAATAAAATAAAATAAAATATTATTGTTGTTGTTGTTAATAATAATAATAATAATGTTAATAATAATAATAATAATATATCACACAATCCTAAGTGCTTGGGAAGTGTTGGACTTCTGATTTTGTGATAGGAAATCCAGCATATATATATCTCGTTTGCTGTATCATACTGTGTTTTTGTGTTAGTATGATAGAAATAATAATAACAATTATTATTGTTATTATTATTATTATTATTATTATTATTATTATTATTATATTAACTGAAGTCCTTGCATCATTATTATTATTATTATTATTATTATTATTTTAACTTAAGTCCTTGCATCATCATTATTATTATTATTATTATTATTATTATTATTATTATTATTTTAACTTAAGTCCTTGCATCATCATCATCATCACCATTATTATTATTATTATTATTATTATTATTATTATTAGGTCTCAAACTCCATTAGTGAGACTGAAGTCTTTGCATTATTATTATTATTATTATTATTATTATTATTATTATATTAACTGAAGTCCTTGCATCATTATTATTATTATTATTATTATTATTATTATTATATTAACTGAAGTCCTTGCATTATTATTATTATTATTATTATTTTAACTGAAGTCTTTGCATTATTATTATTATTATATTAACTGAAGTCTTTGCATTATTATTATTATTATTATTATTATTATTATATTAACTGAAGTCCTTGCATTATTATTATTATTATTATTATATTAACTGAAGTCTTTGCATTATTATTATTATTATTATTATTATTATTATTATTATATTAACTGAAGTCCTTGCATTATTATTATTATTATTATTATATTAACTGAAGTCTTTGCATTATTATTATTATTATTATTATTATTATATTAACTGAAGTCCTTGCATTATTATTATTATTATTATTATTATATTAACTGAAGTCTTTGCATTATTATTATTATTATTATTATTATTATTATTATTATTATTATTAATATTATTATTATTATTATTATTATTATTATTATTATTATTATTATTATTATGGACATATTATTATTATTACTGTATTATATTATTTTGAATTATTATTATTATTATTATTATTATTATTATTACTGCATTATATTATTATTATTATTATTATTTGATTGCATTATTATTATTATTATTATTATTATTATTATTATTATTATATTAACTGAAGTCTTTGCATTATTATTATTATTATTATTATTATTATTATTATTATTATTAGGTCTCAAACTCCATTACTTAGATACACCCAAGGAAAGCTGGAGTCTGCAAAACAGCAAAACCAAGGCCTCCCATCGCTATCCTTGACCCAGGGCAGTTCAAGTGGGATCAAACTGGATTAATCCTCCAGTGTGGATGCAGTTCCCTTTGGAGAGCATCCTCCTCTCTCTGCTCTTTTCTCCCTGAGCTGGCACTTTGCACCCGGTCCCTGGCGCTGACATGATTCTTAGTCAGGGGGAAAAGCAGGGCGGTCTCTGTGAGTGTGCCTTGTGTGTATGTGTGTGAGTGTGAGTGTGTGTTGCAAGGGTTTTGTTGGTAAAGAGAAAAGATTGGAAGCCCAGCGCAAGCAAGATCCATCGAAAGGAAGGGAGGATCAGCTGCAAAAAAAGGGAAAGAAAGGGCTGAGCTGGAGGTGGGGCTGGGGGGAGGGAAGGAAGGAAGGAAGGAAGGAAGAAGAGAAGAAAGGAAGAAGAGAAGAAAGGGATCTTTCCGAATATAGATACATATACAGGATCCGAAGCAATGACTCCATAAGGAAGAAAGCAAGCCTGGACACATTGGGAACCCTCGACCCCACCGTCGATCAATCCACTTATTGATTATTGCCTCGATCGATTGGACGAATTGGGATGACGGATCCGTGGGATCATCGAGGAACTCTGGGCAAAGTATCTTTTTAAATATTTTTAAATATACCTATAGATATATAGACTCTACGCAAATATATATAAATATCTCTATATATATAAAACGACATCTATATTGTGCTATTTTTTTTTTTGCACCGAAACAGGGAAATGAGACATTTTTTAAAATTTTAGTCGTAATAATCAACGGATTTGGAGCGGATTTGGAAGACGAAGATGCTGCTCCATTGACGCCTCTCTGCTTTTGATCTCTTTGTCTTCTTCCAAGCCACGACCAGTCAAGTCCAGCTTGGGATTCGTCTGTTGTGTTCTCTCTCTTGCACCCCTTCTTTGTCTTTGTCTTTTTCTCCCGTTCTTTTCTTGTTCTATTTTTGGTGGGGTGTCGGAAAAGGGATTCGGCCATTCTGAATCCGAGGTTCGCCCCAGTTTCTCCCTCCGCTTTGGACCAATGAAGGAACCGGACGCTATCAAACTTTTCATCGGACAGATCCCCCGGAATTTGGAAGAGAAGGACCTCAAGCCCATCTTCGAGCAGTTTGGCAAGATCTACGAGCTGACCGTCATTAAGGACAAATACACGGGAATGCATAAAGGTAAAAAGGGGCCAACGCCAAGGAGGCGCCGCTGCCACCGTGCAAAGAGGGTGGGTTGGCTGTGAACAAAAGCCCGGTGCCTGGCTTCCTATGGCATCGCTCCAGGAAGGAAGAAGGTGAAGGAAATAGAGATAGGGCGGAGGACATAGGTGGGTAGGTAGGTAAATGGATGGATGGATAGATGGATGGATTGATGGGTAGGTAGGTAAATGGATGTATGGATGGGTAGGTAGGTAAATGGATGGGTAGGTGGATGGATGGGTAGGTAAGTAGACAAATGGATAGATGGATGGATGGATAGGTAGGTAGGTAGGTAGGTAAGTAGGTAGATGGATGGATGGATGGATGGATGGGTAGGTAGGTAAATGCATGTGTAGGTGGATGGATGGGTAGGTAAGTAGACAAATGGATAGACGGATGGATGGGTAGGTAGGTAGGTAGGTAGGTAGGTAGGTAGGTAGGTAAGTAGGTAGATGGATGGATGGATGGATGGGTAGGTAGGTAAATGGATGTGTAGGTGGATGGATGGGTAGGTAAGTAGACAAATGGATAGATAGATGGATGGATAGGTAGGTAGGTAGGTGGGTAGGTAGGTAAGTAGGTAGATGGATGGATGGATGAATGGATGGATGGGTAGGTAGGTAAATGGATGTGTAGGTGGATGGATGGGTAGGTAAGTAGACAAATGGATAGATGGATGGATGGGTAGGTAGGTAGGTAGGTAAGTAGGTAGATGGATGGATGTATGGATGGGTAGGTAGGTAAATGGATGGGTAGGTGGATGGATGGGTAGGTAAGTAGACAAATGGATAGATGGATGGATGGGTAGGTAGGTGGGTAAGTAGGTAGGCAGATGGATGGATGGTTGGGAAGGTAGGTAGGTAGGTAAATAGATGGAGATAGGTAGGTAGGTAAATGGATAGATGGATGGATGGGTACATAGGTAGGTAAATGGATGGACAGATGGGAAGGTAGGTAGATAGATGGACGGATGGGTAGGTAGGTAAATAGATGCATGGATGGATGGGTAGATAGGTACGTAGGTAGATAAATGGATGGATGGATGGGTATGTAGGTAGGTAGGTAAATGGATGGATGGGTAGGTAAGTAGGTAGGTGGGTGGATGGATAGATGGATGGATGGGTAGGTAGGTAGGTAAATAGATGCATGGATGGATGGATGGATGGATGGATGGATGGATGGATGGGTAGGTAGGTACATAGGTAAATAAATGGATGGATGGGTATGTAGGTATGTAGGTAAATGGATGGAGGGGTAGGTAGGTAGGTGGATGGATGGATGGGCGGGTAGGTGGATGGATGGATGGATGGATGGGTAGGTAGGTAGGTGGATGGATGGATGGATAGGTAAGTAGGTAGATAGGTAGGTGGATGGATGGATGGGTAGGTAGGTAGGTAAATGGATGGATGGATGGATGAGTAGGTAGGTAAATGGATGGGTGGGTAAATAGATGGATGGATGGGTAGGTAGGTAGGTAGGTAGGTAGGTAAATAGATGGATGGATAGGTAGGTAGGTAAATGGATGGATGGATGAATGGGTAGATAGGTAGGTAGGTAAATGGATGGATGGATGGATGGGTAGGTAGGTAGGTAAATGGATGGATGGGTAGGTAAGAAGGTGGATGGATGGATGGATGGATGGGTAGGTAGGTAAATGGATGGATAGATAGGTTGTTAGATAAGTGGGTGGAGGGATGAATAGATGAATAGGTAGGTGGGTGGATGGATAGATAGGTAGGTAGTTGAGTGAACATATAAGTGGATGGATATATAGGTAGGTGGGTAGATGTATGGAAGGATAGATAGGTAGTTGGGTAAAAGGTAAATGAATAGGTGGATAGGTAGGTAGGTAAATGGATGGATGGATAGGTAAATGAATAGATATGTGGATGGATGAGTAGGTGGGTAAGTAAATGGATGGGTGGATGGATGAATAGTGTGGTCGTTGGATAGAGAGATGAATAGATAGGTAGCTGAGTAAATTGATATATAGGTGGGTGAATGGATTGATGGATGAATAGATAAGTAGATAGGTAGATGGACGGATAGGTAGTTGGGTAAATAGGTAGGTAAGTAAATGAATAGGTGGATGGATAGGTAGGTAGATAGGTGGGTAGATGGATGGATAGTTGGGTAAGTAGAAAGACAGGTAGTTGCAATAGATAGGTAGATATATGAATAGATGGATGGATAGGTAAGTAGGTTGGTAAATGGATGGATGGATAGATGAATAAATAGATAGTTGAGTAGATGGATAGACATCTAGGTAAGTAAATGAATAGACAGGTGGATGCATGGGAAGGAAAGTAGGTATGTAAGTGGATGGGTGGATAGATGAATAGACTGGTTGTTGGGCAAATGGACAGAGATGAATAGATAGATAGCTAGGTAAATGGATGCATGAATAGATAGGTAGATAGGTGGGTGGATGGATGAATAGATAGGTGTGTAAATGGATATATGGGTAGTTGGGTAAATGGATGAATAGATAGGTAGATAGGTGGATGGATGGATGGATGGATGGATGGATGAATAGATAGGTGTGTAAATGGATATATGGGTAGTTAGGTAAATGGATGGATGAAATAGGTAGATGGATGGATAGAGGAAGATAGGTAGCTGAATAAATAGATAGATGAATAGATAGCTAGATAGGTGGATGGATGGATGAATAGATTGATAGCTGGATAAATTGATACATAGGTGCATAAATGGGTGGATGAATAGATAGGCAGAGTGGGTGGATAGATAGATGAATAGATAAGTGGGTCAATGGATATATAGGTGGATGGATGGATGGATAGATGAATAGATAGATAGGTGGGTCAATGGATATATAGGTGGATGAATACATGGATGGATGGATGGATGGATGGATGGATGGATGGATGGATGGATGGATAGGTAGGTAGGTAGTTGCGTAAATTGGTGAATGAATAGATAGGCAGATCGATGGATGGATGGATGGATGGATGGATAGATAGATAGATAGATAGATAGATAGATAGATAGATAGATAGATAGATAGATAGATGAGTCAATGGATATATAGGTAGATGGATGAATGGATATATAGGTAGTTGCTTAAATGGGTGGATGAATAGATAGTCAGGTAGATAGATGGGTGGATGGATAGATAGAGATAGATAGATAGATAGATAGATAGATAGATAGATAGATAGATGAATAGATATATAGGTGGGTCAATGGATATATAGGTGGATGAATATGTAGGTGGATGGATGAATGGATGGATGGATATATAGGTAGTTGCATAAATGGGTGGATGAATAGTCAGGTAGATAGATGGGTGGATGGATGGATAGATAGATAGATAGATAGATAGATAGATAGATAGATAGATAGATAGATAGATGAATAGATAGATAGGTTGGTCAATTGATATATAGGTGGATGAATACATGGATGGACGGATAGATAGGCATGCAAGTAGGTAGGTAGTTGTATAAATGGGTGGATGAATAGATAGGCAGGTAGATAGATGGGTGGATGGATGGATAGGTAGATAGATGGATAGATAGGTGCGTCAATTGATATATAGGTGGATGAATGGATAGGTAGATGGATAAATAAATAGATGGATAAATAAATAGATAGGTGGGTAAATGGATGGATTGATATGTGGATGGATGGATGAATAAATAGAGGAATAGATGAGTAGGTAGGTAGGTAAATGGATGGATGGCTAGATGGGTTGGTTGATAGATATCTCAATGGTGGGGTCGTTTTTTGTGTTTGTGTGTGTGTTTTGCAAAATGGCATACTTGTGTGAAATGATACAACCCTGCCAGGTATCCCTAAAACAATTTTTTAGTCTTCGCAAGGCGACTTGAAGTCTTCGTCCAATCTGCTTCCAGCAAAGACTTGTTTGTTGTTTTGCCAGCTTCCTATTTTGTTTATTATGTCTGTAGTAGCCAATTGTATAGGTTTATGGTGTTATGAGATTCTGGGAGCCCCCTATCATCATCATCATCATCATCATCATCATCATCATCATCATCATCATTATCCCACTTTTATCTCTTGATTGAGATGCAACTTGGGCTACGTTTTGCACTTCGCACATGCTTAGGAAGGGATTCTGCAGGCAGCTGCTGTTTACCTTGCCTGTTGGAGGCAAGCACATGAAGCGAAAAGGGTGAAATGCCAAGGTTTTGAGGCATTGCACCCAGTGCTCTGATCACCACTGGGACCACCTTGACTGGCTTGTGCCGGAGTCATTGTGGTTCGATCTTTAAATCCTTGTATCATTATTATTTTTGCAGCTGACAGATGGTAATTTTGTCAGCGGCAATTGTTTTAAGTGCAGGCCAAGGTCTTCAGGTACTGCACCCAGTGTGCCGATCACCACTGGGACCACCTTGACTGTATTGTGCCGGAGTCATTGTGGTTCGGGTCTTTGCAGTTCAATCTTTAAATCCTCGTATCATTATTATTTTTGCAGCTGACAGATGGTAATTTTGTCAGCAGCGATTTTTTAAAGTGCAGGCCAAGGTCTTGAGGCATTGCATCCAGTGTGCTGATCACCACTGGGACCACCTTGACTGAATTGTGCCGGAGTCATTGCGGTTCAATCTTTAAATCCTTGTATCATTATTATTTTTGCAGCTGACAGATGGTATTTTGTCAGTGCCGATTGTTTTTAAGTACAGGCCAAGGTCTTGAGGCATTGCACCCAGTGTGCCAATCACCACTGGGAACACTTTGACTGTTTTTGCAGTTCGATCTTTAAATCCTTGTATTATTATTATTATTTGCAGATGACGGATGGTAATCATGTCAGTGGTGATTGTTTTTAAGTGCAGGCCAAGGTCTTGAGGCACTGTACCCAGTGTTCCGATCACCACTGGGACCACCTTGACTGGCTTGTGCCGGAATCTTTGCAGTTTGATCTTTAAATATTCATGTTGTTGTTGTTGTTGATTGGCTTGTGCCGGAGTCTTTGCAGTTAGATCTTT